ATGCGAACATCTAACGACATGGCGAAGACGAGCATCCTTGCTGCTTTTCTCGGAGAGCAAAGACGTCTCACCAAAGGGAAAGCAAAATGTAATAAATAGAATTCTCTGAAGGACGCATGTAAAAGAAGGCAGAATTGAGAAAGAACGAAAATAGTAAAGTGACAATGACAAACAGGCCAATGGCAAATTATACGACGAAGTATTTGGAGAGAGGGATGAGGGGGAGGGAACAGGGTGTTTGGGTCGGCAGTGACAAATGTTGCGGTTACTCCTAATGGGCGTATGTGGTGGTTTTGCAATTTGTGTCTCTGTGCGGACTGCGTGCTTGTTTTGTGTAGCTGTCTATCTGTGTCAATGTATGAGCAGGCATTGCACACGGCATGCCATCAGTTGAGGGCCGAGACGTGCCCTCGGAGTCTGTACTTGGCCGCTTAGAAGTGCTGCGTCGAGGCCCAGCGCGCCAGGTCGCCCTCCTTCGGCCTTCGAGGAATTTGGAAGCGCCGACGCCGAACAGTGAAAGTCGCTTCGGAGGCTGATGCGTCGAGTCATTCTGGCGTGAGGTTGCATGCAGATTTGTTCGCATTAGGGGCTGCATTTTTTAAAGGACATCATTCGTTGCAACCGTGTTGCGGCAAAAAGTAATATCCCCACTCCACCCTCTCTCTCTCTCTCTCTCTTCCTCTCTCTCTCTCTCTCTCTCTCTCTCTCTCTCTCTCTCTCTCTCTCTCTCTCTCTCTCTCTCTCTCTCTCTCTCTCTCTCTCTCTCTCTCTCTTTCTCTCTCTCTCACATACCGTATAACGGCGCCCAAATTGCGGGCTTGTCAAAAGGCCCAAAATAGAAAATGCAAAGATAGCCCAAATTGGAAATAAAGGAAATGATGTTTGATAATATCGAACCCAAAATTTGTTTTAAAAACATTTTAATGTCATTTTTGGTATAAATATTTCAACACTCCTCTCCTCCCTCCCCCCCTCCCCCCTCTCTCTCTCTCTCTCTCTCTCTCTCTCTCTCTCTCTCTCTCTCTCTCTCTCTCTCTCTCTCTCTCTCTCTCTCTCTCTCTCTCTCCTCTCCCTCTCCCTCTCCCTCTCCCTCTCCCCTTCTCTCTCTCTCTCTCTCTTTCTCTCTCCCTCCTCTCCCTCTCCCTCTCCCTCTCCCTCTCTCTCTCTCCCTCTCCCTCTCCCTCTCCACCATAATCTGATGTCGCACTCGATCCGGTGCGAGGGCGAGCGCAGCCGAGCCGAGCCCGCACTCGGGGCAACCGGCGGCCGCTGCCTTGCTCAAACCCAGGGACGCAGAATTAAATGTAGGGAAGAAGAAAAAAGCGAAAGTTGAGATGGCTTCGGCATGGCACTGACCTTCTTCAGGAGTCTTGGGGCCGAACCACAATAGGCTTAGGGAATTTTTTGTCGAGCTCTCATACCACGGGACGCCGAGAGTGAAGGATGAAGGGGGCGGGTAAGGGCGGCCTTCCTGCAGAGGCGGATCTGAGGCTCTGTTTATGTACTTACATATCTGCTCTTCAGACACAATGAGCTTGAAGCGGGGCCAGCTGGAGGGCCAGCGGGCGCCACGAGGAGGGCAGCGAGCCGAACGTGACGACCGGCAACCTACGCTTTATGGCCCCATCGCGGGCGGCCTGTAAATAGGTCAGGCCGCGTCCCTTTTTAACTCTGGGAACGCCAGACACGCAATCGTCACGGCGATGCAAACACGCCCTGGTGGACGGATCACTGAGGGAGCGGGGCTGGGATCTGGGCGCGGAAGGGGCGGCCGACGCGCGATGCTGACCGGGACGGAGGGCGAGCGTGGGGTTTGGCGATGCGGCGTCGGGACAGCAGCCCCATTAGTTCCATGAGACACTTGCGACTGGGAATGGCCATTAGGGCGCCCATGACCCACTTCCTCTTGGCCCTCCCCCACCCCCTCCCACGCCCATCAGTGTACCTCACCCGAGCGGCGAACACGGGCGGGCTCACACGCAAACGGAACGGGGGAGAAGGATAGAAGGAAGTAGATGAGAACTATAAGTAGACAAGACGAGGGAAGGGGACGAAAGTTAGACGAAAGGAGTTGGGGAAACGAGGCGAAGGGAGGAAAGGGAAGGGATGCCCCGTTGGGGAGTTCAGGAAGGACGGCGGCTGCGGGAACGGAAGGAGCAGGCGGGAGGAGGGAAGGCTCGAGAGAGAAAGAGAGGGGGGAGGGAGAGGGAGAGGGAGAGAGAGAGCAGAATGATTATATGCAGCGTGGAAAGGGAATGATTTGAAGGAAAAAGAGAAGAAATATTAGGAAGAGAAAGGATAGTGATGAAGGAGGCGCCGTGACCCTACACCTGTAATTAGCGGCGACGTAAGTGTGAAACCTGTAATTGCCGTCCGCTATTTTTTTCGAGCTGCGGCAGCTTGGCCGGCGACGTAAAGGGCGAGGACGCGCAGGGAGCGGGGGGGGGTAGGAGGCAAAGAAAGAGGGGGAGATAAGCGGCGGAAGGTGACAGGGTGCGCGGGTCGCTTTACTGGCTGGGGAAAGGGAAAGGCGAGGGGGGAGGCAAGGAAGATGTAGGTGATGAGGGACATGGATGGCGAGAAGAGGGGGCTGCTGACAGGTTGGACAGAAAGGGAGAGAAAGATGCGGGGATGCAGGACCACGAGGCCGGGCGGGCCATGAGGCGGGCCATGAGCCGGGCCATGAGCCAGGTCGATCACGGGGGGCAGGCGCGCTGGGGGAAGCGGCTGGTGTTAGCGTCACCGCGTGAGTCAGGCAGGAGAGCTCGCACCGACCAGCCGCTTTCGGGAGGCCTCCGCACCGCCGCCGTCGCCACCGTCAGTCCGCTGCAGATCGCCGCCCACGTCTGTGTCTCCCGCTGTCGCTCCGAGTGCACGCCCGCAAGCGCTCCTCTCCCGCAGGTAAGGAGGCGAAGCCCTTTACAAGGAACAGCAGTGGTAGTTGCATGCATTCTTATCTCGCTGAATGCCTCGTTTGACGGCGGGACTCTGGAGGCGGAGTGGGACGTGGTTTGGCTGGACCTCACGCCACGGCTGACCACGAGCAGGTGAAGGCAGTGTGGTGAACGTGCGCGAGTACCAGCGTGTCAGGAGGCCGCACAGAATGCTTTGGCTGACATTAGTTGACAGTTCTAACAGTTAAGAATACGTAACATACGATGTCCTGTGTTTCTGTGTGAGTTTTGTGATTCCCAGAAAGTGCTTAGCATACTGACGTGCACGGGGCCTGGCGGCAGCCACAACTACTCGCTCGCCAGCGGGAGCCAAGGTGGAGGACAGGACCCCTCGGCGACCCCTGAGGGAGGGGAAGAAATGGTGCGCGGCGAAGGTCGCACGTGCTCTCCCCGCCGCCCTTGCCTCTGTCTAGCGGCTCCTCTGCCGCGCCGCCTCCAGTCTCCCTCCGCCTGCGCCGCCGTCCACGCCGGACCATCGTCGCTCGCTCAAGTAAGGCCTCCGGAGGCTCGGTCAAAGGGGACGGGTGGGGGGGGGGGCAATGGCGGACCGTGGCGCAAGCAGTGCGCTGACGGCAAACAGAGTTTGGTGCGTCATGCCGTCACTTACGAAGTGCACACGAAAGTAAAGAGGAAAGTGAAAAGTGAATTAAAAGTCCAGATAAAGACTGCGTGTTCTTGAGGATGTCCGGTGGCGATGGTGGCGGAGGAGCCGAGATGTCCTGGTGTAGTGCCAGGGGATGCTGCGGGGCTTCTCCCCCACTCCTTCACAGGGGACCTCCGTGCCCCTCGACTCCCCCCCCTCGGCACTCGCATCTCTCTGGACGGTCTTCGCTCCCGCCACGTCCCTCGCCCCCCGCCACGTCCCTCGCCAGGGCTGCTCGCGGGAAAAGGGAATTGGCAGCGGGAAGTAGGATTGCATCTAGACGCGAACCGCACTGCGCCTCCAAGCATGGAGGTTCAGGAAACTTCTGAGAATTTGCGAGATTTTGTTGAAATTAATAGAAATGAAATGGGTAATTTGTGTGAAGGACTGTTGGAATAGATTGAGAAAACAAGTTGTTTTTCATCTATTCATATTTTTTAAAATTCAGAATAAAAATATCTAAACACAAGAAATGACAATAACATGCAAGGAAAACACAGTATAAGAAAAAAAAGAAAGAAGGGAAATGAAGGAGAACAAAGTAAAATCCGAAAAATTCGTCGTTGCATCTTTGCGTGCGAGAAAGCTCTCTCTCTCTCTCCTGCACCCGGCTCAGGAGGCTTGCTGCCTCGGCCTTGCCTGCGGCGCTACACTGGACGGGGATATACATGTGTGTGCGTGCGTGTGTGCGTGTGTGTGTGCGTGCGTGTGTGCGTGCGTGCGTGTGTGTGTGTGTGTGTGTGTGTGTGTGTGTGTGTGTGTGTGTGTGTGTGTGCGTGCGTGCGTGCGTGTGTGTGTGTGTGTGTGTGTGTTGTGTGTGTGTGTGTGTGTGTGTGTGTGTGTGTGTGTGTGTGTGTGTGTGTGTGTGCGCGCGCGCACGCATTTTTATATGTTTGTATGATGAGTATCGTTACCTACCCGTTTTTATAATATTAAAAAAAATGATTGCAATTCAGCGCCGTATCCAAGAGCTGCGGCGCCATTCATTCCCCGCGCACTTGCCTCCCGAGGACGTCCCTCCGCCCTCTAACTCATGTTCTTCCTCTGCCGCAGGTGTACCTCTCCAAGGGCCACGTGCACCTGATTCCCCTGGCTTCGTCCCCTGCTTCTCTCACACCGCTTCCCTCCGGCACCCCCTCCGTCATGGACGCCGTCAGCACCGTCAGGCGGCTCCCCGAACACACCCGCCTCGCGCAAGTCCAGGCGCCGCCCGCTAAGGTCGACGGGTTAGTCCTCAGCTGCTCATGTACTCATGCATCTCTCACCCCTCATGCACCTCATGACCTGCATTTGCCTTCTCATATTCAATTTCAGGCCTATTGTATACCCTCATGGACCTTCTTATGCACCCTCTCATACATTCCTTATGTGCCTGCTCATAATCCCTTCAACCATCGTCTCATGCGTCTTCCCATGCACTTAATCATGCACTCTAGTGCGCGCTCTCTGGCCCTGCCCCTTCGCCTTTTCTTCTTTTTCTTTCTCTTTCCTTCCTTCTTTCCTCCATTCCATATCTTTTCTGCTGCTTTGTATCCTGTTTTCCAGGATGATTTTTGGTATATCTGAATGCAATGTGTATCACCATCATACCATCTTTATAGATCTTCAGTCCACTTTGGTGTTGGAGATAACCCAAAGGCATTTCGTTTTGTTTGTTAGTATGCTTAAGAATTAAACGTTATTCTCATGTATTGTGTGTGACAGTAACTTTTTCGCTATTTTTTTCTATTAAGCGTATCATGATTTCGAGCCAGCAGTTCGTTCTGTCATCCATCATCATTACCCGAGACGTGTGAAATTATAGGGCGTTTTTATCCTTGTGCAAAATTTGGTTCCGGATGAGATTCGGTCTGAATGAGATGACGGACGAACGTAAATTCTACTTTCACCGAGCGCCAAGGCCGTTCTTAGGACAGGCCGCGCGTGCGGACGCGTAACAGCGGAGGGAGACCTTGAGTCGGAGAGGCGGCTTGGGGCGTCCCTCCTACGCCTCGGCTGCCTGGGCGCACGCGGGCGGCCGAGGAGGCATGGTTGCTCTGCTGCGTGACCTGCGTCTGCTCTTCCTGATCTACCTTCTTCCTTCCTTCCTTACTTCCTCCCATCCTTCCTTTAATCCTTTTCTCCATCCTCTCTTCCATCCTGCCTTCCTTCCATTAACCCTTTCCTTTTTCCTTTCCTACTTCTCCCCCCCCCCGCCCCCTCTGCTCCTTAAACATGACTGTGTCATTCATCCACAGTTATTTTTTCCTTCTGCTGTATACGCGTCCGCCCCCCATTGTTATCTCAGCCGCACGAGCGGTGCTTTCTGTTCGGCGTGTAAATGAAAGGAAGAGGGCCTTGCAAGAGGGCGCGATGGCACACGACGAGGAGGCGGAGTTGTTCCTGCGCTCGTCCGTCACAGTCTCCTTGAGGCGCTGACGAGGCCGACACAAGGAAGCGTGTCGGCGACGCAGCCTTTTCGGGCGATGGTAAAAGTACTGGCACTGCCGGAAGCGCGGACGTGCTAATAAGGGGGGAGGTGGAGGAAGGGACGAGGAGGGAAAAAGCCGCGACCTACAGATCTCGTCGCTAAGCGGCTTGAACTCCGGCCGATGTGATGGATTCGTTTTGAGTAGGTCGCGCGTTTTTCACTTTCCTTGCGACGTCGGTGCATCCGTCTCTTGTTGCAACGAGTTCCTCGCTTTCCACTTCCTCCTTCCTGAGCTCCCTCCCTGCAGTCCTTCTCCTCCTCTCGCCTTCCGCCTTTTGCTGACAACATCGATCTTGTTCTTTTTTTGCCTGACTTTCCACGTGGAATTTGCCTCTTGTGCTTTTCCGCGTTGGATTTCTTCGACATCGTACCTGCTTTAATATTTTCACTTTGCCTCTTACTCTTTCCCTCCTTCCCTCATACTCATTCCCTCTCTTATTTTTCATGTTCTGTCGCTTTCTTATGCGTCGTTGTGCCATATTTTGCCTTAATGAACTGGCCTTGCCAGTTCATTAAATCGCTTTATGATGTGTACATCACTCGCTTTTCAGTTCATTGTCTTGACTGAAAGGCCGCGCATTCACAGCGCCAGCCAGAGGTGTCATAATTCGCCCGTTTCATTCCCTGTGCCACGTGAGTCATTAGCTAATATCATATCACCGTAAGTGAATTCCGGTGCGCACGCCCGGCGCCTGGCACGCTATCATGCCCTTCGGGAAATGGAGGCGGCCGCTTGGCTCTTCTGCCACGCCCTCGTGGCAGGAGAGCCCTGTCTCTGGAATCAAGGCCGTCACCAGGGGCGGCGACCGCATCCGGGTTTTCGGATCATCATCATCATCATCATCATCGTCATCTCCATCTCCATCTCCATCTCCATCTCCATCGCCATCGCCATCGCCATCGCCATCGCCATCGCCATCGCCATCGCCATCGCCATCGCCATCGCCATCGCCATCGTCATCATCATCATCATCATCATCACCTATATTGCTGAAGGGGCCTCGCCCCAAGTGCCTCAGCCGGCGCCCGAGCGACCCGCGCCTAACCCTCGCCCGCCTTCCAGGTATCCCGGCAAGATCAGCCGAGAGCAGCATGTGGCACACGTGTACGTTCCTGTGGGCGTGGCCGCACTGCTGCGTGAGTACCCGACGCTCGTGGCGCCCGCCGTCCACGCCTTCTGCAGGAGAGATGTCATCGATAACAAGGTAAGTGGCCGCCTGTGTGGGACAGTATGTCTTGAGTTGAACGCCGGGACAGACCGGGCGAGACGCCCCGCCAGCGTCGTCGCCTCGACAGGCTCTCGCTGCCAGTGCGTCGGCACTGCTGCGAGGGGCAGGGAGGAACAGGGGCATTGAAGCATTGTGTGTGTGTGTGTGTGTGCGTGTGCGTGTGTGCGTGTGTGTGTGTGTGTGTGTGTGTGTGTGTGTGTGTGTGTGTGTGTGTGTGTGTGTGTGTGTGTGTGTGTGTGTGTGTGTGTGTGTGTGTGTGTGTGTGTGTGTGTGTGTGTGTGTGTTTGTGCAAGGTTGGGTAGTTTTGTGAAATTTCAGATTAGAGTGATTCTGGCGCAATAACACATGACTGGCAGATTACCTGAAAATTTTGTCTTAAGGAAAGGGGGGGGGGGGGGTATGGGAGAGATGCAGTGGGGGCATTGGTGGGGGGGGGGGTTATTGATCTCGAGCTTGCAAGCGGCAACGGTAGGAGGGAGAGATCGCAAGGGCCAAATATCTGCGTCGTTGCAGCAACTTCCTCCCTTTTTATTGGCCGCTGAAAAAGAGGAATAAGAAGACAAACTGGTTATCGATTGAATATTATATTTCCATGTTAGACCCTCTCAGTGGCCAGGGACAGGGGGGGGGGGCACTGGGAAGGAGGGATAATTTGGGGGGACAGGGGCGGGGGAAGGGGCAGGGTTGCGGTGAGATGGGGGGGGGGGGTTCTATGGCGTGAACCGGCTAGGATACTACGTCTTATTGCATTTGCTGCTGCTCTCTCTCTCTTCTTCTTCTTCTCTCTCTCTCTCTCTCTCCTCTTCTCTCTCTCTCTTCTCATCTCTCTCAATCCTTCTCGTCGTCATCATTCCTCCATCGGTCTCCTCGATCACATTCTCGGCCCCTCGCCTCACCTCCCCACCTCTCAACGCCCCTGCTCGACCCCGCCAACGTCTCTCAGTCCTCTCTCTTTCGTCTCAATTCATCTGCCTCGTCTCTCTCATCTCGTCTCTATCGTCTCATCTCAGGTCCGTCTCTCAGTCTTCCTCTCTCATCCTCTCCTGAGACTTTCGGTTCTAGCTCTCGGCATGTTCTTTTGCTTTCCCTTATCTTCTCAGCCTGCCGGCCGCGCCCCGGATAGTCCTGCCTACCCTCGTAGCGCTCTCACGCCTTTCCACCTTGCGTCTCTTCTCTCGCTGGGTCCGTCTCCGCCATATCGTCCGCCTCCCTGTAACCCCGCCTCCCCCTCTCCGCTCGTGCCGTCCTATCGGCCTCCCACCGCATAGCCTCTTCCCGTCTAGTCTCATCTCTCTCTCTCTTCAACGTCGGTCTAACTAATCAAGGATCTGGCTCGTCCTCTCTCAGTCTTCTCCTCTCCAGGTCTTCTCTCTCTCTCTCGTCTTCTCCCTTAGCACACTCTATCGCCTCCCCTCGTCCCCTCTCCAAGTTGTCTGCCCTGCCCCCTCGTCGTCTCGTCACCCACGATGCTTTCCACTCTCTCTTCTTCCGATCCCTCTTCCTCTCCCGTCGATGGCCCATTGACAGCGATATCGGGCCTCTGCCCCGTCTCCCCTTCGCCTCGCTCCCGCTCTCACGCCGGGCTGTCTCCGTCTCGGCCTCTCTCCTCCGCTCTCTCTCTCTCTCTCTCTCTCGTCTCGTCTCGTATCTCCTCGATCTCCTCTCTCTCTCTCCTCGCTCGTCTCTCGTCTCCTCGTCTGTTCTCTCTCTCTCTCTCTCTGTCTAATGTTTGGTCTGTCGGTGTGAACCGGTGCCTATCGTATCTACTGAGGGTGGTTTTAAATCATGAGAAATTACGTGAGTGTGTGGCAACAAGTCAGCGGTCAGTGAGAGATTTGTTTGCCCATTAGAGGAGGATGGGAGGGGGAAGGCCCCTGCCGCCCTCCTGTCCTCAGTCGTCTCTCATCTTACTGTTCCTTGCTTCTTCTTCTTCTTCTTCTTCTGCTCTTCTTGCTTCTTACTCTTCAGTCGCTTCTTCTTCTGTGTCTCTTCGTCCCCTCCTACTCCTCCTCGCCTCCTCGCTCCTCCTCCTCCGTCATGCCGTCCTTCCTCAGTCTCGTCTGCCTTCCTTTCCTCCATCCTACTCGTCCCTGCTTTCTACGTTCCACTTCGAGTGCCCTGTCTTGACGCCAGGTTTTCCAATTCCCTTCATTTATATTCGTTTTCCTTATCCCAGCATGTCGCCTTCCCCGTCCCGTCCCTCTTTAAGGAGTCTCTTCCATACTTTCGGAGGAGTCATCGTGCAGGATACGAGTAAGTACCGCTATTATGTAGTAAAACCGTAACAGCTATCAAATGGTATGAAAATACATATGGACACACACGGTGCATACAGATAATTAAGTGTACGTGCGTGTAAGTGTGGTTTTGATTGTGTTTTGTACTTGTCTCCTGCTTTTACATGTAACCGCTATGCATATGTATTTGTTTGCTTGTTTCGCCGCCCGACGGACCCTGACGAACATTCTCACTCGTCGACCGCAGGCGAAGCGGCAACTTGAACTCGAGGGCGGCCGAGTTGAGACGGGTTCGCGGCGGAGCACGGGGCGGAGGGAGGGAAGCCTCGTTCCGCGCTTTTGATACGCCACGTGGTCTGTGGCATGACCCCACCCGCCCCGCCCCCTTCTCTCACAGGTGCCTTCCACCTTATCCTTATCTTTTTCGAAAATGTCTTTGTCTCTCTGCTCCGTCTTCTTCGGTTCCGTACTTCCATTTCTCTCTCTCTTCTCTCTATCTCGACTCCATCTTCTCTTCAAGTCTCTCCTCTCTGGCTCCTACCATCCTCTCTTCTCTCTGTCTTCGTCTCATTCCTCCTCATGTCTGATCTCCCCCCTCCCTGCCCTGTGCCCGGTCGTACCTGATTTCGTCTCTGCTCTCCTGGTGACGTGGCCTCTCCTCTCCCTCGGTCATGCCAGTTGCCGCGCGGCCTCGGCAATGAGATCGCTATTCCCGGCCTAGCAATCTTTGGCGGAAGTCGCTTGCGTTTAGAAATACGCGTTTTGTTCGAAAATGCAGTCACTTTCGGCGCAGAGAGTTTCCGTCGCGTGCAGTCCTGGAAGTGGCCAGAGGTTCCACCCCGGAGGAACGTAGCAAGGGGTATGCGGACGGGGGGCCGGGGGGGCGTGGGGGCGGGGTGGCGTGGCTGCCGCCGCCCATTCTCTCTTCCTCGTTCGCTTGACGATCGCTCTTGGCTCTCTCGCCTCCGCCCTTGTCCAGGTTCTCGCGTTCCCCACGTGGTGACCGCCCCCTCCTCCCGTGGTGACCGCCCCCTCCTTTCACGTTCATTCACCACCGTCCCCCCGCGCGCGCCTTCCCCGGCGGGCGGCAGGTAAGGGTAAGATCCGAGGGCGGATGCGGGGCGGAGGGGGAGGAGCGGACAGGTGTGCAGGCCGAGCGCGGTGGGCGCGGCGGTCTTCCCTCGCAGCGAGCGCGGACTTCCGTGTCGATAATGATTACGAGCGGGATTACCTTCCCCTCAACTCTGGCTTCGCCCCTCGCGCCGTCTTTAAATTCCCCTCGCGCCGCGCCCGTCCGCTTCGCCCTTCTGTCTGTGCGGTCAGCTGCTCGCTCGGCCTGCCTCTGTCGCTCTCCTTGGCCCCTTCCTTCGGTCCCGTCTCTGTCCACCCTTCTCTCGCCCCTCCTGTCCCTCCCCTTTTTCTTCTCTCCCCCTTCTTTCTTTTCATTCCCCCTTCTCACTTCCCTCCTCTCCCTTCCTCGTTCCTTCTTCCCTCTTACCTCTCCCTTCCTCTGTTCCTGCTTCCTCCCAAGCCCTCATCCCTTTCTCCCCCATCGCTCCACTTCCCCCTATTTTCTCCCCTCCTCCCTTTTCTCTCCACTTGCTCCCGCCCTTTATCTCACCCGCCCATTGCCACAAATAACGCAGCCCCCCTGTCCCTCTCTGCGAACCTGGGCCCTCANCATATAAATAACTTATATATATATATTATATATAAATAATTAATATAATTATATTAATATATAATGAAATGCCAATAACCATGGGTAACTATAACAAAAAATAAGAAACTGAATTAAAAAAAACTAAAAACATTGCGTATTTACTATATCCATTTCTTCTTTACTTTCATTTTTCCTTTGTTCCTCTGTTCTAAAAACAAAAGTAAGAATTGAACAAAAAAACTAAAACATCGTTTAATTCCTATTTCCCATTTCTTCTTCATTCTTTTCTTTACTTTCGTGTTTCCTTTGTTCCTCTGATCTAAAAACAAATAAAAAATTGAAATAAAAAAAAAAACTAAAACATCGCATATTCCTACATCCATTTCATCTTCTTTACTTTAGTCTGTCCTTTGTTCCTATATTCTAAAGAAAACGAACACACAAGCCATTCAACAGTTAATATCAAAATGACACTTCAAGCCATTAGCAGATAATTAAACACAAGAGGAAATGTGTAATAACAAACTTTTTCTCTAAAGGCTGTAGGACACAGAGTGTAACATCGCCGCTAGATATTTGCATAAAACCTGTTGAAAAATATACTGTATACACTACTAAGTGTATGTGTGTATATATGTACACACGTACAGAATAGGAGGGATAGAGGGAGGGAGAAGAGAGAGTGAGGAAAAGAGTGAAGGGAGGAGAATGAGGGAGGCAAAAAGGGAGAGAGAGGGAGAAGGAGAGTGAATGAGTCAGAAAGGGAGAGAGAAGAAGAGAGAGGGAGGCAAAGAGAAAGGGAGAAGAAGAAAAGGAGGCAAAGAGGAAGGGAAAAGAAGAGGGGAGCAAAAAGGGAGGGAAGAATGGTGAGAAAGGGAGAGGAAGAGAGAAAGAGAGTAAAGAGGGGATAGAAGAAAGGAGAGAAAGAGAGCGAGAGAAGAAGAAAGAAAAGAGAGTAAAGAGGGGATAGAAGGAAGGAGAGAAACACTGATAAGGCGGAAAAGGAGTGGTGTAGAAAGAGAAATAATTTCTTTAAGAAGAGAAGAATGAAGGAAGAGGAGAAAGGAACAGGAAAATAAACCGAAAAGAAGCAAAAAGCACACGTGGAGAAGATAATTAACGAAGAAAAAAATGAAATGGAAGGAAGAGGGATAGGTGAGTAAAACAAGAGATGAGAGAATGAAGGAATGAAAGAAAAGGAGTGATAACGCCAGGGGAAATAGGGTACGAAAAGATATAAACAAGGATAAAAAAAAAAAAAAAAAAAAGGCAAAATAAAGGCGAACATTACAGAAAATAATACGAACACACGCCAAACGGAAAATATGAAAACACAAACAAATAAAAGAAAGAGATAAAAAACACCCTTTCATTCGAGCTTATAAAAGACAATCACCGCATTGACGTGTAAAAATAGAATAAAGAATAAACAAAATGAATAAAAATGTGGATAGCAAGGCGTGTAAATAAAACTGCCGGTGATATTTAATACGATATCAAAGATTAGAGAGCTGAGAGAGAGAGAGAGAGAGAGAGAGAGAGAGAGAGAGAGAGAGAGAGAGAGAGAGAGAGAGAGAGAGAGAGAGAGAGAGAGAGAGAGAGAGAGAGAGAAGAGGGAGAGAGAGGGAGGGAAGAGAGAGGAGAGAGAGAGAAGAGAGAGAGAGAGAGAGAGAGAGAGAAGAGAGAGAGAGAGAGAGAGAGAGAGAGAGAGAGAGAGAGAGAGGATAGTGAGAAGAGAGAGAGAGAGAGAGAGAGAGAGAGAGGGTGATAGGGAGAGATAGACAGATAGATAGATAGATAGATAGATAGAGAGAGAGAGAGAGAGAGAGAGAGAGAGAGAGAGAGAGAGAGAGAGAGAGAGAGAGAGAGAGAGAGAGAGGGAGGGAGGGAGAGAGAGAGAGAGAGAGAGGAAGAGATACAGAGATACAGAGATAGAGATAAATAGATAGAGATAGAGAGAGAGAGACCCATAGACAACCAACCTGTAAAACATCCCACTCTCAGCACGAGAAAACAAAATAAGAAAAAACGGGAGAGGAGAGAAAGAGACAAAGAAAACGAGAGACGAAAGAAAAAAGAAAACGGGAAAAGGCTTCTATTTTCAGGAATAACTTGAGCAAGAGCGGCCGATAGCTGGCTGGCGCTTGATGGGCAGCTTGAGAGGTGTGCTCTTCATGTATCTCCCTTCCTTCCCCTTCTCCTTCTCTCCCCTTCTCTCTTGCTCTCTCCCCTCCTCGTCTCCCATCTCCCCTTCTCTCTTTGCTCTTTCCCCTCCTCGTCTCCCCATCTCCCTTCTCTCTTGCTCTACACTCTCCCTTCCTCGTCTCCCTTCTCCCCTTCTCTCCTGCTCTCCTCCCTCCTCGTCTCCCCGTCTCCCTTTCTCTCCTAATCCTTCTCCCCTTCTCTCTCCCTCTCCCCGTCTCCCCTTCTTTCTTGTTCCTCTTCCCCTTCTTCTCCTCTTCTTATCTGTTCCTTCCTCTCTCCGTCTCCCCCTCTCTCTTGCTCTCTCCTCACCCCGTCTCCCCTTCCATCCTGTGTATTTACCCTTCCCTTCTCCCCTTCTTATCTGTTCTTTACCCTTCCCTTCTCCCCTTCTCTCTTGCTCTCTTCTCTCCCCGTCTCCCCTTCCTCCTGTTTTCTTCCCCTCCTTTCTCCTCTTCTCTCCTGCTCTCCCCTTCTCTCCTGTTCCTTCTCCCCTTCTCTCCTGCTCTCTCCGCCTCCTCTTTCATTCTGTTCCTTCCCCTTCCCTTCTCCCCTTCTTATCTGTTCCTTCCTCTCTCCGTCTCCCCTTCTCTCTTGCTCTCTCATCTTTCCCGTCTCCCCTTCTCTCTTCTCCTCTCCCTGTCTCCCCTTCTCCTCTGCTCTCTCCTCTCCCCGTCTCCCCTTCTTATCTGTTCTTTTCCCTTCCCTTCTCTCCTGCTTCTTTCCTTCTTCCTCTCCCCTCCTCCCTTCTTTATCCTTTGATTCCCCTTCCCCTCTTCTCTCCTCATCTCCTGCCCTCCCTCCTCCCTTTTCTCCCATTATTCCCTCCCTCCTTCTTCCAACAATCCTTTTACTTAAGACTGATTTTGCAAGAATCAAAAAGAAGAAGAAGAAGAAGAAGAAAAAAAAATACTTCAGTCATTCTCTCCAATTTTTTCTCACATAAAAACAAGAAAAAAATATTGCCAAACCACATCCTATTGAGACTCCGACTCTTGCCAACAGTCACTGAACACTTTTTTAAAAATATATTTATTCTTAAATTCAAACAATGAAAATTCCTCTTATCTATCTATCATCTATATCTGTCTATCTCTCTCTCTATATATATAACACAAATTACATTTTGGATGATTTCAAATATTATGCTTTTGC